CTATGCTGCTATCACACAGTAACAGTGTAGTTCGACAGCAGTTGACTACTTAAAGGAGCTGTTCTTGGGTCTCATTAACCTGGCCTATAGGGGGCGAATGAGCAGAGATGGGACAACTCAGTTTTGCTGAAATCTTGTCAGTTTTGGAGTCAAAAGGCTCTCCTCCTGTGCTGTGTACGGTTGTTGGAACAGTCTTAATCGGGTACACTCAATTCTAAGGGAGTACAAAAAAATATTTCTCAAAAGTGTCTTGATTTTGGGCATTTTTGGAAAGAATTACAAAAGAAATTGCTGCGTTTCATTGGGGTGGCCTGCAGGGGGCGCTTATCTGGGAAAGCCTTGATCCACCTCGCCCGCCTCATTCCAGTGATATTTTAAAAGTGTCCTCCTTTATAGGAGCCCACAGTTGGAACATGAACAAACTCTTGTCTTTCTCTCTATTTGTGCGGTTGTTACAAGCGTACACCGCACAAAAAGATGGCATTTTGACAGCAATTCTTCTTCTACTATATCTCCGCCAATATTCCCGGCAGCCTGCCCCACCAGGGTACGTCATGTCCAGTCCAGTCGGCTGTCCCACGTATGTCATTCACGCCCCTGCCCCGTCGTCATATGAAAGCCAAGAATACCTGTTTCTGCAAGGTTTTTTTCAGTTGATCATAGACTTCTAATTTCCTATACGTTCTCCTCCCACGGAGCCATCTAGTTTTATTTGCGATCTGACACATATGCAAACATTAGCATCAGGACAACTTCATGTAAGCTGTGCAACAATCACCTATGAAATGGTACAAAAGCAACACACTTAGTAGTAGTCCGAGGTGGTCCCGCTCCCGCAGGTTTCTAGAGGATACGATGTAAGCTAACGCTATGTACATGTATATTCACCTGTGATTGATTTATTTTTTAAATAATTTTTTGCTTTAGTTCCCTCTTCCCTTCCTCACTGTTGCGTCGTTTGGGCTGTTTTGCTGTGTCTGCAGATACAGCCAGAGGAGCTATCGGCGCTATCAGCTACACGCTGCTCTTGTTTACCTGCGCTGTTTGTAACAGCACCGCTCCTCGTTCTGTGAGTGGAGGAAAGGTAGCGTCACGCCGAATTTCTACTCAGCACTTTTTACAGTTTTGAAAGCTTTTGGGACATAACCACGTTCTATAGTATTTATAATATTTTAGATAGGGTCTATTATTGAGGGGAGAGTGTCATTGAAGAGTCTAAAACTAGGATGTGACCACTGAGATTACTTCTTCTTAGGTCACAGCCAAGAACTGGTCCAAGTCCACTAGAGACTGGGCTTAAGACAATGTTTTGAATACATTTTTGAAAAAGCCCCACAGAAGACAAAAGTGATGGCACATTGGTTCCAACTGCGGCAATAGGCGTGACTACGTCCGTTATTATTTACGTTCTATGATTTAAACTGAAGGGGCAGCTCTAGAAAAAAACTATGATGGCCCCTTTAACAACGTACATGCACATGTGCCCTCTCTCTCCCGTCCTGTGTGAGGGTCAGGGTTATTTTCAGTCAGCGCTGTGTCCCAGGAGAGCCATCGCTGCTTCTGCTGCTGCTGTTGCCCATCACTGGCCTCTGCAGTCAGGTCAGCTCTAACTCCACATCACGTGTTTCAGCCTAAATAAAAGAGTCTGTGGCGGATCAGGCGGGTCCCTCCCTGAACGCAGGCAGTGCTTGGGTTTACGATGGGAGGAAAAGCAGTAATATGGGAGTGATTGGAGGAGAAGATTGTTTACTCCGATTGAAGGCAAACGGGCCGCGGGGGTTATTGCTGACAAAGCCATGTGTAATGCAAGACAGACTGCTTTGAGAAGTACTGCATGGTCCCACACGCATTTTTCAAGCTAATGTACAGTATATACAGTGGCTTGAAAAACTACTTTTACACATTTTATCATAACCACCAATTAAGTAAAAGCAAAATGATATATAATCTAGACTGGCCTTCATCTTTTGCATGGAACAACCAGTGGGGGCGGGTCCCAGCTTAAAAGTGGCCAAAATGACGTGCGCTGACATGCTTGCAATACCACCCCGGGCCGATGGAGGTGGACCCGGAAGAAGAATTAGCCAATGCTAACATATAGCATTGGCAGACCTCTCAAAAACGTCTTTACAGGATGGACCAAAAGTTGGCTCTTGGCCCAAAGCTCCGTTCCACATGTGTGTCAATGCTGAGGGGAGTGAATTTTTTTGGTCCACTCTAGTTTACTTGCTGTGAATTTTTGAAGTCTCTCGTTCAAATGAATGGAGTTGCGCCGCCTGACGCATGCGCAGATGCGTTTTTTCACTATTTTCTTGTGGCCGGGACCACTCGTGGCCATTTTGGATAGCTTCAGTAGAGCAGATTTTTTGGCCCACATTTAGAACGGCTCAGATAGGCGTGACTCTGTCCGTTAATATATACAGTCTATGGGAACAATTCAAAAACCCAGTGGGAAACAAGGAGAAGAGAGGAGGCCAAGCGGTAGATCCAGAACTGAGACTGAAAATCCAGGGCCGAGGCTGTAGAAATAGAATTTGATGTGAAACAGGTGGCAGGTGGAAGACTAGGGACAACTGAATTTAAAAAAAGAAGCAAATGTAAGAAAAGTGTTGGAGAAAGCTTGTGTGAAACAAGGATGTTGTACAGAAAGTGTCCTGGGGGTATATTTTACAAACTTGCACAATAACATAATGCTTTCAGAGCTGCGTGTACTGCGGTCTATGATACATTAATAACAGCTGTTATTTTGATTGCGAGTCAAGCTAATGCCAGAAAAATAGTTTTTCTGTGCTCCTTATTGCTCCAATGATCAAATGCAATCCGGAACTACAATTTTACACAATACTTAACACCCACCAATTTTAGATTTTTCAGTGATTCCTTTGTCATATGCAATTTATTTTGGTCATTAACTCATTGAATGCCAGCCTATTTCAGAACAGGTACTCCCACAGTGCCAGCCATTTCTGATGATTTTTACTGATTTTTCAAGACCCACAGAATATTGTGTACTATGACTATCTGAAATCCGAAACCAGATTCTGAAAGATTGGACTGTCTACTTTCATCAGCATACTTTCATTTGTTTCTAGCTTGTTTTGTTCCCCTGTTATCCCCAGTTGAGTGAAGGGAAGTTTTACTGAAATCACCAGTCTCAGACAAAAAGCTGAGAAAAAGACACTTATGTGAAAATGACCACACCATGCAGAAAAAGTGACTTTGACAAAAAGATGTTTTACTTTTGTCATTTTTTGAACTTGTGAACATTGTTCCTATAAATAAAACAGCAAAAACAAAAAATAAAAGTGCTTTTGATTGCAAAATACAGTATAATACAAGTTCACAAAAAAAGACAACCATTTAGAAAATACATACAGTAAACGCTATACACAGTGTGTGTGTGTGTGTGTGTGTGTGTGTGTGTGTGTGTGTGTGTGTGTGTGTGTGTGTGTTTACACAGTGTAATTTTGTTTGGTGTGGTAGGCGGTAAAGCACTCTCCTGGATGTAAAGGGACACGACAGGACTTGCACCACAGCCTGGTCTCACTGCGCAGGCCCTTGCGTGCGCAGACCCTACACCTCCTTGAGGGTCTAGCCTTACTGCTGGAGGGAAGGTACTCCAGCTTGTGCCTCGCCATCCTTCCATCACGCCTGCTCTCAGGGTCTCTCTTGTAGGGAGCCCTTGGGTTACGTGGAGCCTCTCTTTCCACACCTACTTCCTCCTCCTCCACATTCCCCACCTCCACCTCCACATCCTCCACCTTCACCTCCTCTACATGAGGTTTAGTGGTCCAGGACTTTACCACCTGCCGCATGAACGCTAAAAGCGTCGTACACTCTCTGTTCCTAGCTCTGTATAAAATAAAAGCATTATACATCGAGATTTGGAACAAATAAGCGACAAACTTTTTCGACCAGTTCAGCGACTTCCTGACGAAGGGGTAGTAGGCTATGTTCTGGTCTAACCTATCTACCCCATTCATAGATGCATTGTAGGCCACAACACACTCCGGCTTTAACTGGGTCACCTTTTCCCGGTGTCCCCTCTGCCACACATCAACACTCTCCATGTTGTCCTGGTGACAGGTCGTCACCATCCTGACCAGCCTTTTGTCCTGCCAGGCTACCACCATAACCTTTTTGTTGTGGTACACAAGCCTCCCCCCCACACCCAGGTCAGACTTGGTGACATCCCTGATCACCTGAGGCTCTCCCCGGTTCCTCCTCAGTGTCCCGCACACATTGGTTTTCGCCTCCTGTAGCTGCTCACAAAGTGAAATGGAATTATAAAAATTGTCCATAAACAATGTATGTCCAGCACCTGGGAGACGATCAAGGAGGGAAAAAACAATTTCGGGCAGGGTACGTGGTTCCCCAACATAAGGCTGCAGGTTAAAGCAGTACCCAGAGGCCGAGTCACACAGGACATATGATTTTATGCCATATTTGACTGGCTTCTGGGGGTTGTAGACTTTAAAGGACAGCCGTCCTCGCCACTGCATCATCCCCTCGTCAATGCAGATGTTCTGCCCAGGTTGGAACATGTCCTTGAACTTTTGGACAAGGTAGTCCAAGACAGGGCGAACCTTGAACATCTTGTCCATAGCATCAACAGACATGTTATTGTTATAGTGGAGGAACCTCCATATTATTTGGAACCTGTTCCTGGACATGGTCTGATTGAAATATGGTGTCGCCTCCATCTCGTTGACACTCCAGTACATCGGCAGGCGTGGTTTTTTTATGTACCCGGTCAAAAAGCTAAGTCCAAAGAATTTTTTCAACTCAGGGATGGACACCGGTTTCCACACATGCCCTCTGCTGTGTGGCACAATCTCTGAGTGTGCCTGAAAATATTGCTCGGCATACAGATTTGTCTGCTGAACAATATGACGGAGCAGCTCATCTGTAATGAACAGCTCCAGGAAGTCAGCCGGCAGCGAAGAATCCAGCTCTGCAGCAGCATTCCGGGGTCCAGGTGTGGAGGTGAAGGGGAAAACCTTTGGTCTCCAGTCATCCCTAGACCAGCTGCCATCTTTACTCTTTGTAACTGTAATACATTATTGAAATATATACAAAGAATGAACATAAATATTGTTTGAGTGCTTTGATGTGATTTGCAGAAAGACATTTTTACCTTTTCTCTTCTTCACACCAACTGAACTGGCAGATGTGACACTGGCAGTGACACTGCTCGATGTAGAGGCTGTAAAATACAATATGATACCTTTATTATGGCTTTAGATAAGATGGAAAGATTAAAATATATATGCATCCACGTATATACTATACATATTGTATACATTACACATATTTTATAGATTTTACACATTACAGATATTACACATATTTATGTATATTTATATATATTATATGTATATATTACCTGTTCTATCAACAGCAGGGTTCCTGGGTGTGGCTGCTTTCCTTGATCCACAATCTGTAAATATAAAATAATCATAAGAAATGCAAAATTATAGATACAATTATCATAAATATACAATAAATATACAATTATCATTAGAAATGCAAAATTATATTATGTTATACTCTCTCATGTTATTTGTCTGCATTACCTTCTCTGGCGGTGGTTCTGCTTGACGCGCGAGTAAAAGCGTCAGGGGAGGACTCTCTGCTGCTTGCAGACCCAGATGGGAGCCACTCTGACGAAGAATCCGGGTCTGGCTCAGTGAATTCTTCCGAACTGCTCTCATCCTCATCTCGCCTTGCCAAAACACGGCCTCTCCTTCCAGGTGCAGGCTGCGCGCTAGCATGCGCAGTAGCAGCAGGAGCGCACTTTTTAGCAGCTTTTTTGGGCTGCCGCGATCCCCCCTCTCCACTATCAGCTGTAGAAACCCTCTGCTTGGAGCCACCAAACACTTGTTCCAGCGTGAGCTGTTTGTAATGCGCTGATTTATCCATACTGATCTCTCTCTGTCTCTGTCTGTCTGCTCTACTCCACCATGTGCTCAGATCTCACAACAAGTGTATCCTGTTTACAAAACATCTAGACGCAGCGCTGCTGCCACCTGCTGGCTCAATAAAATAAGTTCTAATCGTAATCCCCATTCACATTAGATGTAATAGACATCTGGGAACATGAAAATAGCGAAAAAGGCATTTGACGTATTAATGCGTCATTGGCACACCACGTTACTATTTGCTTTGACGCACTTATGCGTCAATGGGACACAATGAGTTAAAACCCACAAGCTGTATCAAATTCAATCTAATTAAATCTCATGTATGTACTTTTTATGTACTGAGTGCCAGAAATACCAGACTTTACACTAAAAAAATATAAAACATAATATGCGTACAAAAACAAATATTGCTCATTGCCTTTCTTACCTGTTATCTTTGCTGTGCTTCAGTGAAAAAAAAATTCTCACTTTGCTAAAACTACGGTGTAGTACTGGGCATGTTAGTGTTCCTTTACTCCTCAGCTGAACAATGAGACCTTTGCTGAGGCAATCGAGGCTTTCGTTTTCAATAAAAACCCTGTTTTCAATAAAAACCCTGTTTTCAAACAAGTCCGTCGCCTCACAGCTTCATTGCTAGGTTGCAACCACATGACCAAAAGGATCTGTAGGACAGGAAGGGATTTTGTCCTATTGCCGGGTTGCACCATAGACTGTATATATTAACCAGTGGGGGCGGATCCCAGCTCAAAAGTGGCCAAATCATTCATTTGAACGAGAGACTTAAAAAATTCACCCCCCTCAGCATTGACACACATGTGGAACGGAGCTTTGGGCCGAGAGCCAACTTTTGGTCCATCCTGTAAAGACGTTTTTGAGAGTTCTGCCAATGCTATATGTTAGCATTGGCTAATTCTTCTTCTGGGTCCGCCCCCATCGGCCCGGGGTGGTATTGCAAGCATGTCAGCGCACGTCATTTTGGCCACTTTTGAGCTGGGACCCACCACCACTGGCTGCAACCCAGCCATACTAGCATGTTGACTTCAGCTAGCATGCTAGAACAGCCTTGTTTTGCTTCATTGGCATATCTAAACGGCTTATGACGATAGCTTTCTAGGGGTAGGACTTTTTTGAAAGACATGTGCGTAAAGAGGGGAAAATAAAAGCAGACACGAGGCATGTTTTACGCAAGATATAATTAGACTATAACAAATATTCAAAACTGTAAAGAAAACATACAGGAAGGTAGCTTGTAATGGTGCTTTCAGACCGGATCATGCGTTGCGTCGGGTTTCAATGCAAAGTCTATGGTGGCGTGCGTTCGACCGTCACAACGCACGGACCTCTCGGTTCGCACGAACAGACTGTTCACTAATGACGCACGGACTTGGCGGGAAAGTGAAAAGGGAGGAGCAGGAGCCGAAAAATCAACGCCCACAGGAGATGGATTCTGCTCATCCTTTCCTTGGGACGTTTGTGCGACAACCAATCAGAGAGCAGCAAAGTGGTCACGGGGACATTAGCAGACTGAAAATACTCGTAAACAGCCAAAACAGGACCCACACCAGGCTTCACCAGAACTCAAACCAGGGTTGACAATGGGGGACTCTGTGCTTGTGAAAATATGTGTTGTCATGCTCCCGTGACCTTATGCAACTGCTTCGAGTGTGTTCGCCGATGCGGAAATACTGTTTAATAATATGAAAAACCGTATGGCGCACCTCCGTGAACACATACTACTGTTATATAATGCCCGTGGAATGTCTGTGAGCAAAGACACGCTGCAAAGCTGCATATTGGAGATGATCTGTGCACAAGAAGCCGCCAGCATAGCTCTGTTAGCATCAGAGCCGGCCGGCTACTTCCGGTACTTCCGGCTCGCGTCAGGACGTTCTGGTGTGAAGTCCTCTGCGTCTGAAAACTAGAGAATGCGTGTCTGGTGAGCGGGGCTTCAGCGTTTCAGCGTTGGCGGTCTGAAAGCCCCATAAGTACCGACATGTAAACATGCTTTTTTAACATGCTGATGGATGACCTAAAATTTTAGTAAAAGGGCAACTGCTTCAAAACTATAAAACCTAGAGGTCTGAAACTTTGGAGTTGTTGTCAACAGAAAAATACCATAGGGTTTGAATATTGTGAGCTTATAATGTATTATGCCTTTGTTAGGGTTTTTATAAATTGAATATTTTAGGCAAGGCATAAAAAAGTTTTTTTCCCCAAACTTCAAAGGATGCAGAGTGAAATTGGAATGACATACACTCACATCAGCAGGGAAGTGTTTTGCTGACTCCAACAGCCAACAACCATGCTGAAAGGCGGGATAAAGCTGCATCACCTCACTTTATTTTTGTATTCAATACAAAAATTCAATCCATATCCATGCAGTGCATTGGGATACACGTCCTTTTGAAAAAAAAAAAGTAGCGCAGATTTGTGCTGGCGTGTCATTTTATTTTAGATCGAGTTTTTGTGCAACAAGGAAGAGAATTTGTTTCGGGAGATTGTGTCCAATCACAGCGGACCACTGGCCCCCACTTTCTTGAGAAAATCCTCTGGTCTCTCGTTAGCACAGACAGCTGAGGTAAACAAGCGGCGGAGGCTAACCTGAAACTTCCTGTGTCTTCGTTACCGGTTACTGCTTACACAGCGAAACAGCCAAAAGAAAGTCTTGTTCCTCCGCTCTTCCCGGTTCTATCAGTCTGTGCTTGACAGTGGCAGCCGATCATAAAGCTGACAGAGCCTTTGCTCATGTCACGTTTCCAACCACATTCTAAAGCCAACATTAAATAAAAGCAGGAAAGCCTGTTTTATTTAATTACCAAATAGTTACACTAGAAACGTGTTACGCTGTTGTTTATTGATAGCCATTCTAAAAGAGGACAAACAATACTTATTTAGTACTATGTGCAATATATTTACATACAACAGTGACAATGACTCTTCACTTCGAACATATGACTGTTCTGATGATAAAACCATTTGTGTCTAAATGACTAATGTGTTCTCACTGAACACGGCTCTGCCAGAAGAGGTGAGAGGAAAGACAGGTCAAAACCAATGGGGGCAGGTCCCGGATCAAAAGGGTCCAAGAGCAGGTGCGCTGACTTGTCTGTAATCTCACTTCTTGCCGTTGGTGTTGTACCCATTCTTACAACACCTTCTTTCCTCTCGAAAACTGCTTTACAGCCTCATCCGAAAGTCTTGGCCCAACGCTATGTTCCAGATGCTGTCAATGCTGAGGGGAGTTAAACTCCGGGACCAGCCGTGGACTTTTGAATGCACTAAATAAATGAATGGGGCCAGTGCTGCTAACGCATGCGCAAATGCAAAACTGACAATCTAAAACAAAAAACATATTAACGGCAAAGATAGGCGTCACTACTTCCATTAATATTTACAGTCTATGGTCAATCGACACGGCAGGGCAGTAAGTATGAAGGGAAAGGCTGACCATTTGTTTTGGTTTTTGGTGGAACAGCCTTGTGAAAATGAGGCTGAATACTAAGCCTCTCTTTGCAGTTGTTCATGGCTCTGTGGTGGACTTTCAAAAGTAACATTAAAATAAAACTGTAGTTCTGTGGTAGCCTTGCCTTAGCCATCCATAATCTCTGGCCAATTATCATTTCATACATGTACGTCTGGGTCTGATCCTAGCGGCTGCGGTTATCTCGGTTGAATCCACTCTGTTCATTCAGGGAGAGGGGGAGGCGGGTGTTGTCGGGAGGTGACGTCAGGGGTTTGTGCCAATTTTTCTGGTTGTAGTTTGGCACTGGCGGCGAATGCGGTAGTAATGTTCTGGTTTGCCTCCAAATATCAAGAAATTGAAACTCGAGCAAAGTTTAGCAAAGTTTAGCACATTTCATTGCTGGCAAAGCTGGCTCTACTCCCCACGGGCTCTGTTTGTGGCAAAGAAGATGACTAAAGTTATGCTAAATGCTAAAGGCCTCACCCAGGCGCATTACTTACGCCACAGTTACACTTAGATCCATTCGTTTTAATCTGCAAAAGGAGTAACACCTCCCACCTGTTAATGAAGACCTTAGTACAAAATAAAATTAGTATGATGATGTGATAAGGCCAGGCTAGTTCTGTGATTGTGGAAAAATATGTTGTTCTGTTCCTCGGCCTTCTCTCCATCGGCCCGAGCTGAAACACAGTCCTGAAAGCACGCGCCAGCTCCATTAATCTCCTCAACATCAACTTTTCATCTGCGGAAACGTATGTCCTGTGGAGGGGTGTGTGTGGGTGGGGGCTAACACCGTGTCGGATGTGCGTTTCCTCTGGTCGTCACGGTAACATGTGTGTAGCTACAGATGAGTGATTTTGCAGAGCATGAGGAGTGGGGGTTTATTAGGCCCGGCTGTCAGTCAGACCAGACTCTGACTTAAACTGCTTCAGCTCTAAAGATCCACGGCCTGTTTACAACCAGTAGAACTCAACTTTACTACTATTTCTTTATTAGCCAAATGGATTATATTCTAATTTATTCAAGTTTTCAAGACTTGTGTTCTACATGATATTCACTCATCTTGTCTTGTGTGCTCCTGATTCTGACTGTTCTGTAACTTGTGATGCAACACTGACATTTCCAAACTGTGGGACCAATAAAGAGTCTATCCATCTTAATCTTAACAATCTGTCGTTTGTGGACTTTTTCAAGAATCTGTCACTTCAAAGTAAATACAATGCAATACCCCTGCGTTAAACTAATCCTGTGCAAATATCTGCCATGCGTTTTTGTTATTGAGAAGTCAACCGATCATCACATTTTGAACTCATTAATCACAGGACAACACTAGAATAGGTTTACACTAATTTTTCTATTTCTATTCTCTCCCTTCTGTCTAAATGCACCATTTGCGAACTCATTAAACTATGAGAGGACCTCAGAATGTCTTCAGGCAAAAGAGAATCTTTTCAGCAGAGCATTAAACTAGGCAGTGCCAGGTTATATGTACAGTTTATCCCCCCACAGAAATGCCATTGTTCTGCCGTATTTAA